TAATAGGGGAGGGTGGCCTGCAGTAGGCAGGCGACACCCATACTGACACTGGCAACAAGGAGGGCTTATAAAGGCCCAAAAGCCCTACGCAACTAGGCGGCCTGGGGCGAGGAAAAGGTTCAGAATGGCCAAAGATGGGATTAGGGACTAATAGGGGCTTCTGCCCAAGAATCGGGGTCTGTCATAGCCGAAAGGCTCGGTATGGACGTTAAACCTGATTATAATAATAATAATAATAATAATGATATCTAAACAATAATAACATTAACCTTTTTTGAAAGGAAGAAAAAGAAAAAGGGTTGTCATGCCCAACGGACTATTCTCCCAAAAGCCAGTCCTGTCAGGACCTACAGAGTAGTCACCTAACTACTTAGCTAGTACGGAGTAAGACTCCGTACGGAGTACTGTCATGTCATTCTTCACAGATCTGAGATTCTAAATTCTCCTTAGTCTGACGAGCCTAGCCAGCCTGGCAGCCAGCCTAAAACTAGAACTAGCAAAGTTAGGGTTTTCCGGTGACAGTGTCGATCCGCTTGGTCAAGCGGCTGGCTGGGGCTGGGGCTAACGTTAACGCCGGCGTCATGCACGGTTGCGCTCCGGACACGACGCGAAGGATCACGCAGCCTCGGACCAGTTCCAGCTGGGGAAAACCGGTTGGCAGGCTTGAACCTACCAGGTGAGAGGATGGGTCCACATTACTCCGGAGTACAGTATTGTCATTTTAGTGGTAGTCGGAATATGTGAGGTTGACCGGGGGGTTGTCTTGGGGATTTCCTATACGGAGGACTCCGTACATACGGTCTAGCTGCGAGTCGAGTGTGTTGTTGAATGTGAATTAATTTAAAAAAATATTAGGAAACTACTATATAAGACAGTTGACTATTCCTATTATTATGGAGTAATATCTATTATATATAATATATGATTTACACACGAGATCGCTCCCGTCAGCAGAAGATAACCCTCCCTCAACACAAGTCGAATGATACATCTACACATCTACTACTACTATACATATCTGCAAAACTTACCACACCCCCGAAGACTTGACAAGTCCAGACTTTCTGCCACGTGCAAGCACAGAGGATGCTGTACTGTACTGTATGTACTGTATGTACAGTACACTCAGACGGCCTTCTCCTCCTTGTCCGCAATCTCCTTCGCCAAAGCGTCCTGCAGGTTGAGTTCGACCGAGTCGCCGAATTGCGCGTTGATCTCCTCCAAGCTGAGGCCCATGGTCTGGATATGCATTAGCAGAGAAAAAAAAGAAATACCAACAAAAAAAAAGATGAGGCATACCTCCGGAAAGTAGAACAGGATGATCACCGTCGTCACAACCGTCACACACACAAACACCAGGTAGAACTTCCAGCCAATATTCGCCAACGCCACGGCCACAGGCGCGCTGTACGCAATCGCATTGCCGAAGAAGCTGCCATACGCCAGCGTCGAGCCCTCGCTGCGCAGGTGCGTCGGCCAGATCTCCGACCCGTACACGTACGACGTGCACTCGATCGTCGAGGTGAAGAAGGCGCCGAAGATGAAGTACAGTGCCACGGCGGCGTTGATTCCGGGCTTGTACGTCGAGTTGAGATAGTACTTGATCAATGCTGCCATGGTGCTGAGGATGGCGGCGCTGCCGAATCCGCCGATTACTGAGACGTCCGTTAGTAAGTGGCTTGACTTATATAGGTTTATGGAATACTCACCCAAAAGCTTAACTCTCCCAATTCGGTCCAGCAGCAGCACGTTGATCCCGCAGCCAACGACAGCGCAGATCGTCCAGACCACCCCCAGCCCCAGCTGCATCGTCGTGCCGAAGCCGAGCGTGCCCATGAGGGATGGGATCAGATTGGCAATGGCCGTGATGCCGGTTCCCTGGCCCATGGTCCACAGGATGATGGAGCAGAACGCCCTCTTGCGCAGGTGAGGAGTGCTGAAGATGTAGATGAACCCCTTGGGCAGCGTCTTCTCCAACTCCACCTGCGCCTTGATCTGCTTCGCCTCAGCGTGAGCCAGGGTGGCATCGGGGTCGCTCTTGGTCCGGTGGAGGTATTCCAGCACCGCCAGCGCATCGTCGTCCCGGCCCTGGTCCATCAGCCACCGAGGCGACTCGGGGATGAAGAAGAGCGACACGAGAAGCAGGATGGCAACGCCGACGAGGACGATGAAGTTCAGTCGCCACTGGTACTCGGCCGTCACGAAGCTGAACGCAAGGGCCAAGAGCGAGCACAGGATGTACGCAGACACAATGCCCACGCCTTGCAATCCTACCAGCAGTCCGCGGGTATGCGGCGGCGAAACCTCGGACATGTACACGGGACTGTTAGCGAGCACCATGCCTGCGCCTACGCCGTTCAGCACTCGCGCAGCGAGAAACATGGCCACGTTGACCGCGCCCGCCTGCAGCGCGCCCGTTAAGATAACCAGCGCGGCCGCTGCACCGTTGGCAATGCGCCGTCCGAAGCGGTTGGCCAGAGGGGCCTGGACGAGAGAGCCAACCATGGCACCTCCCAGGAAGCTGCGCAGCGATATTTCTGGTTAGCGATGAGACTGACTCATGGCCTCGAGGAAAACACCTCACCCTCCCAGCATGCCATCCGTCCGCGCAGTTGCATCAGGTGTGGACAGGAACTTGGCAATGAACGTGGTTTGAGCCACGCTGCCCGAGATGACATTGGCCGAATACCCGTAGACAAAGCCGCCGAGGCAAGCCGTAGACACGACCTGCGAGGGTCATGAGTATGGATGGATAGATCGATTGATAGGATGGAGAGTCCCATACCAGGATATTGATCAAGCTGGTCTCTTTTTTGATCTCGACCGCCTTGGTGTGCCCGTTCTGCTCCATGATGACTTGTCAAGAGTCTCAATGGCTATATCAAAATGGAGACAACGGAATCGTGGTTTTTCTTGCATGGAAATGGGGGGAACTACCACAGGCAAGGGTTTAAAGAGCACCGTGGAGCTAGCTCAACGCCGGCTAGAGTGTCTACCCCTGTCCTGCTCACCGTTCGACTGGATGCCCACGTGCGGTCCAGATGAGGTGCAGAAAAATGGGAAACCCCCCCGTACGAGCGACGATCGACCTGGTCGACTGCACATGGCTGCAGCCACGAGGACCTTGGCGCCGACTATCAGTATCGGCTGCATTGATAGACGATCCTATCTGGAAAGAGGAGCCTCGAGATTCCGTCGAGGGAACGGAATACTCCGTAGATACTAGACTGTAGACTGTCGTAATCTCCTGCCAAGCATGCATTGATACAGAGCAGCTCAGCTGATTGCGCGGCGAGATACGGAGTCGTACGTATTCAGACATCTCGCTTCCCACAGCCAATAGAGACACTAGTCCGCAGTCCGGTCGATTCGAATCCTGCAACGAGTCTCCACACTGGATTTTTCCGAGTCATTACGCTATCTAGTCTGCCAAGATGCTGGTCCAGCTATCAGACTGGGGTGATACCTGCCACACCGTCCGCAGAGGTGCCGATACATGCCTAATTGGCTCCATCCCAGACAGATGGCTCTTCGAAAGACTGGAAGCGGCATGGTCAGGGCCAGACAGGCCTGGCACTAGCAGAGACACTAGACAAGTAGTTTGCTGCTTGCGGTTAGCTGTTGCTGCACTGCTAGCTGTCTGAACAATCCCTGTTAGAGCAAACCTAATATCGCTGGGTCTTGGTTGGGGAGCAGGAGCAGCAAACCTCAGACTTTGGCTGCAAAGCCAGCGCTGCTGCATACGGGGTATGTGGAGCATGGAGGAGTTGGGACAGCGACGAGAAGAGCGTCCTGGAGATTTCTGAGTCTGACACGTCATGCCCAAGTCCCGCTGAGAGCTGGTCTCTTCGCGTATATAGCCCAGTTTCCCAGATCTGTCACCCTGTCCTGTTCGAACTTACATCCCAGTCTCGTCTTCATCATCATCGTCATCATGGACATCCCAGAAGCAGAAGTCTTTCCTGTCCTCAAAGGCAAGGTCGCCATCATCACCGGGGGCGCCCAGGGCATGGGCAAGGCGACGGCCGCCGTGTTCGTCAAAGCGGGCGCCAAGGTGGTCATCGCCGACATCAAGGAGGAGCAGGGCCAGCAGGTGGCCGCCGAGCTGTCGAAGCTGGGCGAGATTCACTTCGTGAAGGCCGATATCTCCAAGTCGGCCGATGTGCAGAACCTGGTCGCGCAGACGGTGGCCAAGTACGGCCAGCTGGACGTCGCGGTCAACAACGCGGCGCTCACGCCGGACAAGACGCCTGTCACCGACTTTGACGAGGACTACTGGCGTAAGCTCGTCGACATCAACCTCACTGGCACCGCTCTGTGCTGCAAGTACGAGATGCAGCAGATGATCAAGCAGGGCAACGGCACGCCGGGCCGGTACTCGATCGTCAACATCGCCTCCATCAACGCCTTCCGCCCGCAGCCCAACATGCCCGCGTACACGGCGACCAAGCATGCGCTGCTGGGCCTCGTCAAGCACGCTGCCATGGAGGGCGGGCCTCACGGGATCCGCGTCAACGCCATTGCGCCGGGGGCGATCTTTGTAAGTGAAATGAACTCACCGCAACCGTACTGAATGTCTGACGCTAGCAGAGCGAAATGTCCGCCGCCGCGCTCAAGATCATGGGCACGACCCACGACGAATTCGCTCCCAATGTGAGCTACCTGCGTCGGTTCGGCCAGGGCCACGAGGTGGCCCAGGGCTCGCTGTGGCTGTCATCGAACGCGGCCTCGTACGTAACTGGGATTTGCCTGCCGATTGACGGGGGATACTTGGCGATGTGAAGAGAAGAATATAGTACTGAATGGCTGAAAAGAAATATGTAGTATATATAAATTCCTATAAATTTCTCTCTTTAAAGAATTAATTCAGTAAGAGGCGAAGAATAAAGAATCCAGCTCATACGTAAATCTACCAGATCTCATAATTAAAATATCCTCAATATTATCTTTACAAGAATACAAAACAAGGGTAGTCCTCAGAGTTAGCAACACGACGGCGAAGGCTGACCGTCAGGATTCGGTGCAATAGTTACCTAAACTATTGGAATAGTCATAATATCGACGATAAAAACGACATAACAAGACTTCACTCTCTGCCAAGTCACAAATCTCGTATAAACTTCGTATACTCCGCACCTAATATGCTCACCTGACACTTTATACAGCGACAGTGTATATAACGGACCCAACCACGTAAGAATTAACTCGACTAAATTAACTACTTACCTTATTGGTTAATTAATGGCTGGTTTTGAAACACTAGGCGGGCTATATAAGGGAGTTATAATCCCACCGCTTCTTTCTGACATTCATCATCCCTGTCGTTGTCATCTCGTCGTCCAGCAAAATAATTCATAAATATATCAAGCTGATTCATACAAAATGGGTTCTGCACAGCAATTCCGCCCCTTCGAAGGCAAGCTCGCCTTGGTGACGGGATCCTCCAGAGGTACGATATAGCTCTATTCTCGCCTTGACATACAGCTCGCTGACCCGACCATCACAGGCATCGGCGAGGCCATCGCTCGCAACCTGGCCAGCAAAGGCAGCAACATCCTGATCAACTATGCCACAGCCGAGTCCGACGCGACTGCCGCAGCGCTGGCCTCAGAACTGGCGTCGAGCTTCGGCGTGCGAGCAGTCCCCGTGCGGGCGGACATCACCAAGCGGGAGGACTGCGACAAGATCGTGGCCGTGGCCAAGGAGCACTTCGCGAGGGCGGGCACCCTCCAGATCGACATCATCGTGCACAACGCCGGGGTGGTGAACATCGCGCCGCTCGAGGAGGTCACGCCGGAGGAGTTCCACCGCGTGTACTCGGTCAACGTGCTGGGGCCGATCCTGCTGACGAGCGCGTGCAAGCCGTACCTGCCGCAGGACCGGTCGGGCCGGATCGTGATGATGTCTAGCATTCACGCGCGGATCGGAGGCGAGCACACGACGGTGTACGCGGGCACCAAGAGCGCGCTCGAGGCCATGGCGCGCGTCTGGAGCCGCGAGCTGGCGGAGCGGGCGACGGTCAACGCCATCAACCCGGGCCCTGTCATGACGGACATGTACCTCAAGGCGCCGGAGGAGATGAAGCAGGCGCTGGCGCGGTGGAATCCGGTGACGCCGCTGGTGGCGGTGCGCGAGTCAGACAGCGACGAGGTCAAGGAGCTGGGCCGGCGGCTGGGCGGCCGCGCGGCCTATCCGCAGGAGATTGCGGGCCTGGTGGCCTCCATCTGCCTTCCGGAGTTTGGATGGTGTACGGGCAGTGTGATTTCGGCCAACGGGGGGATTACATTCAGCATGTAGATAGCCATCCCGCTACGGAGTATTACTCTATAGGGAGTAAATGTATTAAATGTGATGTTATACTCCGTATATAGCGATCTCCACGCGACCACGACATGAGCGGAAAAGAGCGCCAAGCCGAGCCGGGCTTGGCGCGGCCGTTGAAGCCGCCCGGCCCAATTGCCTCGCGCCAGGCGTGGCGGGGAATCTCAGGCGGGCTGTGATTGGCGTGCAGGCGGCCACGAGATCAGTTTCAGGCGGTTAGTTTAAGGTTTGCGCTAATGCAACCTTATTTAGCTCGGCGCCTGCCAACTCACCGCCGGGGCAGTGGGCCGCCCTCCGCCAATCAG